AACACCTCAAGGGATAACACTACGCAGTCTTCGAACTTAAACTTAGAGTTTTTTCTCAAAGCTCAAGTATAGAGCTTCACTCAAACAACATTTCCAAAAACCATATATGAAAATATACGACAAATACATAAAGTGATAAAATAAAACAAGACAGTAGGAAAGCAAAAAACACAAAAAGAAATGAAAACAAAGCTAACACATATAGAAAAATAACCATACTAGGCTTGACTCTCTGGATTCCCCAATGACATCGGCAACTGTTGGGGCAGAAAAATACTCGAGCGGATGAACGCTCGAATGAAAATGAAGTCATCACCGAAGTTTATTTTTAAAAGGAAAAACATCGATAAAACCCTAAATGAACAAAAATATGATCATCGCAACCAAATTCAGGATCAGGAGTCGGTTAGGAGGGGGATGTATTAGCATCCTGCAACACCCGTTATAACCAACAGGAACCACGTAGTTAGTTTTGCAAGTATAAGCGTTAGCTTGAAATGTTTGAGTTTATTCTTATTATTAAAAATATTTACAAATATAAGTGTTATCTTGAAATGTTTGAATTTCTTCTTATTATTAAAAATATTTACAAGAAATGAAAGAAAAAAAGACTGAAAGAAATGTTTTTTACTATGGTGTTTGACGAGACGTTGAATCTCGCTCCTACGTATCCTCAGATACGATGGGAAACTCAATGATCTGTAGTTCTTGGCGAGAAAAATAGATTTTTTTATCAAGGTTCTTAACCAACGAGAAACACGTAATTAGTTTTGCAAATATAAGTGTTAGCTTGAAGTGTTTGAGTTTCTTATTTTTATTAATTATTTTTACAAGAAATGAAAGAAAAAAGTCTGAAAAAGGTCTTTTTTATTATGGTGCTTGACGAGAGTTTGAATCTCATTCCTATGTATCCTCAGGTGCGATGGGAAACTTAAAGATCCGTAGTTTGTGGCGAGAAAAATAGATTTATTTACTAGGCTTGACGAGATGTTGAATATCGCTTCCACGTATCCCCAGGTGCAATGGGAAACACAAAGCTACGTAGTTATGGGTAGAAAAGATTTGTGGGTTGATTGCTTTTAGAGAAAGATATATAGGTATCATTAGAGAGGTTAAGTGTTGCTTTCTACTTGTGCATGGGAGAAGTTAATGTTGTTTGTGCATCGCGTCAAAATGGATAATGTTTTGATCACATTTTATCGGAAAACATTGCTTGCTACCTGTGCATGGGATGAATGAAGTGTTTGTTTGTGCTTCGTATCAGAATAGATAAAATACCGTTCGTTTATGAAAAGATTTTTACGTTGTGCTAAGATGATAAAAATAAGTTTGATTGGTGGAAGTTGCTTTCGGAAAACGAATAATCGGCTTGAATAAGGTGTACACCTTGCTTTTGATTACTCGAGGATAAAAGAGGGTGTGCACCCAATTTTCCTTTTTTAATCCATTTATTTATTAAAAATTATTTTGGTAGAAGACGAATAATCGGTTTGAACAAGGTGTACACCATGCGTCTGATAACTCGAGCATAAAAAGAGTGTGCACTTAATTGTCCTTTTGAAATCCGATTTTGATTATGTTTTTTTGGTAGAATACGAATAATCGGTTGGAACAAGATGTACACCTTGTTTCCGACTACTCGAGGATAAAAAAGAATGTGCACCTAATTTTCCTTTTTAATTCAATTTATTGTGAAATATATTTGAATTATATTGAATTAAATTTTGAAAATGGTTTGATTTTAATTTAACATAAATATCTTATTCGTTTCAATATTTAGCAATTAATCATATTACCATAAAATAATTAAATCAACTAACACAATCAAATTTAATAAATGAAGTAAATAACATAAAAAACTCAAAGGCGTGCAAATATAGAAAAATGGAGGTGTCAAGAAAACAAATAGAAAACAAATTAGGCCTAAGGCCCAAAACTAAATAAAATAAAAAAAAGAAAGAAAGGAGGGGGTGCGCGGGAAATGGTCCCCATGAGGCCCAATCCCACTTGTGATACACCAATAGATAGGGGGTGTATAGAGGAATTAATTAGGCCTAAGGCCCAATTTGCAAGGGTATCGAAATGGAGGGGGTATGCTAGCATAAGGAGGCGCCAAAAGGTCCAAAGGGGCCAAGCCCTAATCTGAAGAAAGAAAGGGAGGAAGACGCCATTTAGGCCATACCTCAACCTCTTCTTTCACTTTTGCTCATACATACCTCTCCATCCCTCAATCCCTCTGAACATGTAAACACAACAACAACAATAAATAACTACTCTCGATTCTAACTCAGTTCATGGCCATGGATTTTACATACTTCAAATAATGAACCAAATAAATCATGTGAATTTGGAAGCAAGCTCACGAATATAAAAACCTAGATTTGGAATTGGTTATGCTCACAGGATTTAATAGCGATTGAAGCCAGTTAATGATGGGTTTGGGTGCGAAAATGATATAGAATTGCATTTAACGAAGGAAAAGGTGAAAAACAACGCAAATCTAACCCAAAATGGAGATTTTGGATTTTTCAGAATCTGACGAAGAAAACGAACGTTTCGGCAAGATCTTAAAGTTTCCAGCGATGTTCTCCGATAAGAATCAGTTTTCTAGCCATGTTTTCGAGTTTTTGGCGATGTCCTTTCTTGCTTTTTTTATGATTTTCTGCTCATTTCCTTCGATTCCATTATACTAATTTGCTTTTTCTTTGTTGTGATTATGTCGTGGTGAATTGATGATACTGAAGGTGTGGTTGTGGTGGTTAATCGTGGTTGAGAACTCGAGAATGGTGTAGAGTTGAAGATTGTTTACAGGTGGGATTACTAAATTTTGATAAGAGTTTCTTAATTATGAAGAACCTCTTTATTGAGGTAGAAGTTTTGTATGATTTTTATAATTGTTGTGTGATGACAGTCAATCATTACATATAATCATTTGAAAAATTGAGGTAAAACGAGCAAAAGAGGAGAAAAAATGACGAAGAAAGACCCAAGAATGAGTGAATAATAGCCAAGTATGGAAGAATGAGACTTAGTGAAAATTCTGGTAAGGGTGAAAAACACGCAATTACTGGAATAATCACGCACAACGTCGTGTGCTATCGCGTGCGTGATAGAAGAGAAAAGGTTACATCGCACGATGATTTCTTTTTTTGGGTTTTTCTGATGCGTTCTAATAGCTTTAAAAGGGAATTTTCTACACTTTTACAAGGGTTATGAAATTTGGCACTAGGAGCACGATTTTACAACATCAAAAGGGAATTTTGAGAGCATTGGAAGCCATTGGAGGCCAATCCTTCAAGAGAATTCATATGTTATTCTTCTTTATTCAATTGGTACTATAATTCTTATTATGAGCAGCTAAATTCTCTTAGGTTAGGTTGTGTTATGATGAGCTTTATTCAATCATGTTGGCATTATATGGTAGTTTGATTTTGTATGAACCTTTTGAATTCTAATTTTATTCAATTGTTTCTTATGCTTAATCTTATTATCTGAGATACTCTTTTACTATTTTGTGCGAGACTCACTATAACGATTTTGTTAATTCGTCGTAAGATTATAAGGATAAGGTAATTCATACAAGGAATCGTACATCAGCAAGAGGGGATTAAGGGATTCTAAAACACAACCTGACCGCCTTTGTGACATAGTTTTCTCGTTTAATTACTTTTTGCATTGAAACTTGCAATCCTGCCTTTTTACTGTTCTTATTTAATATTACACAAATCATTGTTCTGTTCGAACACAATTCTTGTGGGTTCAATCTTTTTATTACTGTAATATTATCGGTACACTTGCCGAAAAGTCATCATTATTGATGCTTTCTCTGTGAGTTTTTGTGGCTACCGATTTTGTGTGTCTCTTTTCATTTCTTCTCCTTCTATTTATAAGATAGAGTTAGGGTAAATTAGTGTGATGTGTGTGTGTGTTTACGCGCGCACGAGTGTATAAATTGGTTACAATTAGGAGGGAATCATGGAAGGATTAAGAGGGAAAAGTTAGTGAGCTTTGTGTGAGGCGGAGTGAATTCCGTGCCAAGTTTGACACGTGTGAGTGATGAGTTATAAAAATTGTAAAAGTTTGTTGTAGTGGTTTTGTGTAAAGCTTGTACTTGGGAATTGAAAATTGCATAACTATAATGTAATGATATGATGATGTAAAGGTTGTGAATGAGAAAAAAATATGATGATGTATGTAGTGTACCATGGTATAATTAGCATATCATGAAAAATAAGTTATTTTGAACTTTTCTTCTATTATGCAAAAAGAAGAAATTTTGCAACTTGTGAAAAAGGAAAGATAATAATGCAAATAAACGAGAACTAGATATTTTTAGGGAAATGCTAACGAGTGCTCTCAGGGTATTGGTTAAGAGATTAAAATGGTAAGTTGGACATTATTTAAGATATTGAAAATACATTTTTTTTCTAAATATATGTGTATTCAATGCCCTGAAAAGAAAAATAATCAGACTTTTTAAAGAATATTGTGTGTATTGAGTGAAATAAATATAACATATTTTCCTTATTTGAAATTCTTAACTAGTGCCCTGAGGGCACTAGTTAGCATGATCCATATTTTTATTTTTGTGGAAATAATGTTGACTTTTCAAAATGACCAAAAGTAAAAATTGTTTGTGGGTTTTTAGTGGTGCAAAAACAAGTCCAAAATGTACCATAGAAATAGCCTTTTGAATTAATACAAACCAAGCAAAAATGCATATGAATGTCAGTATGATCAACACTTATTCAAATGTTAATTAAACGAAAATATTTGAACAAAATTAAGGTAAGAAAATCTTAACATAGTTAAAACTCATTACGTAACTAATAAAAATTAGTTAGAATAGTATTACTAGGCACATTTCGTACACCTACCCGCCAGTAGCATGAGAAGAATAGTAAACTAACACATGTTTATATAAAGCCAGTGAACTAAAAAACTTGAACTCATCAAACACAGATATTACTACTTTTCATTTTTCATTATAATCTTCAATTATGACAAGCATACAACAAGAAAAGACCCCCGTCCAAACTCCAGCAATTCTCAAGGTAAAACTATATTACTCTTTTTATTCCAAACATATATACATACACTCATTTATCATTATATTTATTACAAATACTTTGCATATATATGATATAGTACATCCTTGAAACAAGTTGCTATCCGAAAGAGCATGAACAATTGAAAGAACTAAGAGAGGCCACCGTAAAGAAATTCGAGGGCTCATGGTATAAGGAAACTGAATTCTACATTCTTCTCTTTACTGATTTATTGTAAAGTGTTGAAATATATTTATATATCTATATATGTTTGCAGGGAGCATTTGATGAGTGTGCCTATAGATGAAGCTCAGTTTCTGTCGATTCTTCTTAAAACTATGAATGCAAAGAAAACCCTAGAAATTGGAGTCTTCACTGGTTATTCTCTTCTTGCTACAGCTCTTGCTCTGCCAACTGATGGCAAGGTTGTATTGTATCCACTGGATTTGTAACTAAACCTGAAAATATTCTGAGATAATTTTCTGTGAAATTAAACATATGAATATTTTGTATCACAGATAACGGCAATTGATGTGGACAGAGAAGCATACGAGGCTGGATTGCCTTTTATCCAGAAAGCTGGTGTGGAGCATAAAATTGAGTTTATCCTTGGAGATGCATTATCCGTTCTACATGATCTTGTTGATGTAAGTTTTTTGTTAGGGAAGTGAAATTTATATTTAACTTGCTATTGAAGAGTGAAATAATAGTTAAAAAATTGTAGGGAAAACAAGAAGAATCATTTGATTTTGTTTTTGTGGATGCTGCTAAGGATCAATACATAAAGTACCATGAACAAGTGTTGAAACTGATGAGAAAGGGTGGAATAGTTGCTTATGACAACACTTTGTGGGCTGGTTCGGTGGCAATGTCCGAGGATGAAGAAATGGGTGATCACATAAAGCCGTATAGGAAGCCTTTGATTGAGTTCAACAAGTTTATAGCAAGTGATTCTCGAATAGAATCAATCATTCTCTCTGTTGGGGATGGTTTAACACTTTGTCGGAAGGTTTGATCCCTTCATGTGGAAGAAAAATAAGATATAATATGAGGAGAATTCTTATTGTATGAAATAAAAGTGAAAGATAATGCTATAATAAAACATCCTTGATGTCGTTGATGCCATTGATGTTAAGTAAGTGGAGCATAATCGGTGGTCATAAGAGTAGTTTTAGTTAAGTTTGTTGTTTTATTTTGTTGAGTCAATAATTCTAATTGATAGGAGAGGGTAGTTGTTGTGTTGCATCAGTTACTTAAGTTTGTTCCTTTATTTTAGTCACTTCCGCTTTTAAAACATGTAACCAGTTTGTTTTCTTTGTAGTCGCTATTTATGTTTGTCATGTTTTCTTTGAATAAGAATCATTCTCAACATTTGAAAGATATTTTTTTTTGTATAAAGTTTGATTTTTCAATATCTAGTATCAAAGCTCCTTACCGGAGACTTGATTGTGTGAGAAGAAAAGAGAAAAACAAAAATGAGAGATGACTTCTGAAGACAATTTTGTTCAACCTATAATTTCAAAATTTGATGGTCACAATGACCATTGGTCCATGTTAATCGAAAACTTTTTACGATCCAAAGGTATTGGGGCTTAGTGAGGACAGATCCCACTACTAGAAATACTCTGTTTTCTTGCAGATTTTGACAAATTTTCTGCAGGAAATATGTTACCTGCGATTTTTCCTACTATTTTCTGCTCCCCGCTAAAACTTTCCTGGGTAATTAATATAATAGGTGAAGTCGCAGGAAAAAATCGCAGGTAAAATAAATAAATTCGCAGATAACAACACAGGTAAATGAAATTTTCCCAGGAAATATCGCAGCAAACTAAATATCCGCAAGTAAAGTCGCAGGAAATTTCTCTCTCATATTTTTAATTTTTATTGTTTTTTGTTTAATTTATATTTAAAATATCATAATTATTGTTAAATATAATAATATAAAATACTCAATTTTTGTAATTCCATAAGAGCACTTTAAACAACAAATGGTTAAAAAATAAACAAAATATAAATCTAGTGTAAGCCACTATCTACGTAACATCAATTTAATTTACCACACAAGATAATAAATTATATTACATTATTAATATACCATAACAGTAATACATATAAAGCATAAAACAAAAAATAGCTTCAATTTTATTAATATTCACATTCTTCTTATTTCACATCCACGAGCAGCTATCACAAAATATAATAATAATAATAATAATAATACAAAAAATCTCTTCACTTTCAACAACACATCGACGTCATTGCGTATAATGACACTCCCTTGAGGCCTCAAAGTCCTGTCCATCTCAAGAAGAATGTCCTCTATTTTACATCTGTTCTCATACAGGCTGAAAACAGAAGCCGCATGTATGATGTCGTAGGTTCGAGGATATGTGGACATGGCTTCACACCTAAAAATGGAGACAAAAGTAGTTAGTAATAAAATCTTAACTACAAAAGCTACTATTAGTGGGAAGTCTTAGAGAAAAAAAGCTAATATAAAGTGAGTTTTGCCTCTAAAAGTGCACAATTATTATAAAGGTATCCATTATCCAACTATAAATTTTGGTGAGCTAAGATTATAATGCACTTCAAAATTATTAAGTTAATGGTGCACGTTACAAATAATGCATTCACTTTTTAAAAGATTCATGTTGCAAATCTAGTTAGGCAAACAAAAAGCTACTTTCCACTCTAACAAAATAAAAGCTACTTTGTACTCTACTATGTATGTAACAGAATCTAGTTAAGAACTGTTATTGAAAATGGGCTAGTAAATGAAAGAAAAATATACCAGTTCTGATATGTTCCAACCAATCCTCGTTCAAAAACGACGCCGAGGGTGTTGATCTCGGCCTCGACGGGAACAACATTCATGACCCAAACTGGATCATCAATCATTGCAGCTGCAAAGCCTCCAAAGTAAGCATTCATATCAAGCAGATTACGGAACCTCCCGGGCTCTGCTAGCTGATAATCTAGTGTCTTGTAGTATGCACATGACTCATGGCTGCTTTCATCATGTTAAAGCAGCTTCAGAGCATTCATGGCTGCTTCACAAGAGGAATGATATAATTGTAATATTGTATCCAAACAAAATTTAAAAATGAATGAACTCCAATTGAATCATTTAAATTGCTGAAATTTTTAATTTCTTAAAAATTTTCAATTACTGGATCCAAACACATTCTCAATCGTTAAGAAACATAATTTTATCATCCCTAGTTCTTTAGAATATTTTTGGTAAACTGAAACCAACAATGGATCAGACAGGTGCAAGGACTCATGCAAATACTAAAATTGCGAGCAACTCGTTAATAGCATTGAAAGTGGAATTTGAATCATGTGCAACATCTAGAAAGTCATTGGACCTATGTGCAAAATCAAACTGCACTCGCCTGTATTCAATCATGACTCTACTACGGTCACTGAAAAGGACTCATATAGGGCCATGTATACCAATTCAATTCAATCCAAATGCAAATTAAGAACGAGTGAAGTACGACTATGAGCCATTGGGTGTATTGCACAAGCAGCATTATGCTTCAAAAGCCCTTGGCTACTACTTTTCCGCGACTCGAGCACTTTTGGACTTGTGATTAGTCAAAGTTGAATACAATTGCATCAGAAAGCTAATGAACAACAGTGTGAATTCAACTTTTTTTATTTTATTTTAATCTTCATCAAAATACTGAGATTGCCCACTTTGTAATTATGGAGATCGCATTCAAGTTCAAAACTGTAAAAAAAATATATAAAGTATCTCAAAGAGTAATGTTTAGCCGGTCACACACGACCCAAAAATCTACATTGTGGCAGGCAGAAACTGCTAATCAGCTTATTTGGATGCCAACAGAACCCGATAACATTACATTCAACGACTTCAACCAATCTCATGTTAACGGGTCTGTCTCACTCTCAGCAATGTGCTTGTAATGGCTTTTTTTGAACATAAAATTGTGCAAGATTCTTACTGAAATTTACAGCAGAAAATTACCTGCTAGCTATTTCAAAGAGACCTTGCTCTTCCCAAATTTTAACAAAATAGCCTACCATTGTCTGCATAAACCAAACATACCAAAATAACTTTTTAATATAACGCATTTCCAATTTGAAAAGGAAAGATTGTGTCTCACAGAAGTTACAGGTAATGGTATAGGCGGACAGAAAGGTTCTCTAGAGAAAAGCATGTCGTGTGAACGTGCTGTCAGGCTGAAAGAGATGACTCGGTTAATTTTGGTAAATATGATATGGAATTATGGATACTCGTAGAAAGGTACAGTCAGGACCAATGTTGAGCTATTGCAACATTCACATGTTTACTGAAGTAAAAATTTCCACATAATATTGACAAGCCAGACAATGAAAAACATGATATACATCATACTTGTATAGTGCTAAGAGGCACAGTTAAGAGATAGCTTTCATTTTCTAAAATATGGAATGAATTCACAAAGTAGTCAATAAATTAGTCCATAGAAATCTTGATTGTTCGATATGGTTGACGCCTACACATTTCTGAATGAAGAACCCCTATTTTCAATAGTCGTATTAAGAGAATAAATGAAAATTAGTACTAAGCAGTCCGTGACTAGTTCTTTAGGTCTTCTTGCATGTGAAGTCTGGTTTCTTCACAATCTGACCGTCTGGGGTTAACATTCGCAAGGGTGCTACCTAAGAATCTGGTTAGGGTTGTTAAAATCAGTTCTAGCACCAGAACCTGAATCATCGATGGTGGTCATTTTCTTGAAAGAATTAGATTTTGATTGTTGAGACATTTTGAGAGACGTTGGTCGAGAGAGAGAAGGTTTTCTGTGGTTGTTGAAAGATGTATGGAAGATGAAGAAGTGGTATGGGCACCAAATGAAGCAAGTGTATAGTTGGTAGGGGATAGTGAGGTAAGGTTGCAAGAGAGGAGGGAATTCAATATTTTGACCAATCAGCAAATGATTAATTTTCAAAATCTTCCACAGTAGTAACACCTATGTCTTTGGTATTTTTTCTTGGTCTGGTTCCTGCTTTTGTTTCCCTGATGTTGTGATATTGGTCGTGACATCTGATTTGACTTCTGATTTTCAGCCTTTGGCCTCTTGCAGCCCCAAGATGGGGTATTGTTTACTAACAAATCCTAGTCCAGACACGTCTTCTGCTTTCTGACCACTTTGTAGAATTTCTTCTAGAGTGTCAGTCCCATTGTTTAACATCCTGATTGATTTTGACATCTGATCAAGTTTAGAATTCAAAAAGCTGACCTCACTGTTAAGTGAGTCTATTGTTGCAAGATGCTCTATCTTTTCAGCCTCTAACTCCCTTATGAATTTCTTTTGCTGCTCTACTTGTTGATATATTTCTGCACTTCTGATGCATAGCTTTTTATATGAAGCAACAAGTTCATCAAAGGTCAGCTCATCTTCACTTGAATCATCATCAGATACACACACACACACACACACACACACACTTGTATGTGCTGTGACACTTCAAACAAACCTTGATCTGCTTCACAGCTTTGATCAAGAGACACAACACTCGTGCTTAAAAGTTTAGAGTGACACACACAGAGTACAACTCAAAACACACTAGTCCAATGCAATCATCCAAGAGATAATTGCTTGGCTCACAAGGAATCCTAATACACAAAACACACGTGAAGAACTGACTGCATAACACAAAATTCATCACTCACAACCACACACAGAACAACTCTCTAAAACTCTGTCCAAGACCCTTGCGCAATTAGGATTGCTACTTTGTTATTTATAAGCAACAGACAGATCTTGGTCCTAAGTGCAGAAATTAGGTTTAACCAAGTTACACCTTTTTTCATAAGGCTGCATGCTTCCAATTAGGCCAGGGACATTTCATGTTATCCTCAGCATTGCCTAGCATTTCGCCTGAGATAACTAGGATCCCTAAAATGTTTCCTGAAGTATAGCCTGAGCTTCCTCATGCAATATACCAGAACCTAAAACACGCGTCTTGATGTCAACTGCTTGATGTCATAACATCCAACATGAC